CGGAAGGAGAGAATTGAAGTTATTTAGATTTAAGGGAACAAATTATTTACCTCATTAGTTTTAAGGAAAACTTTCACCGCTCTAATTTTTTTTGTACTTAGCTTTAACCATTACGTTTACGATGCTTTATGGAAAATATATTATAAAGAAATTAAAATAAGACTGTTGAGAGTGAGATTAAATTTCATAACAAAGGTATTTAATTAATTTATAGGTAACTTTCTTATTAAATTTTATCAGAAGTGTACACGAAATGCAAATTTGAATTTCATAAGATGATACTGATACTTGTACCCTTCTCAGCTGAAATTGTAAAATGAAATTAACTTCTCCACACGTGTTTCACAAACATAAATCTCAAAATGACATTTACGAAACTGAGCGCCGCTTTTAACTAATTTTATAAAATTTTAACAACTCAAATGTAAAAATCTATTATAAAGAAATAAATAATTGTATTAAAAATTCAGTATTTAAGTTAATGTTGTGTATGATACACCTAATTTACATAAGTGGAGTACCGACCATATAAATATGGGTTGGTACCGGAAGACGGGGGAAGATAGTAAGAAGAGATCGAATCCAGAGACTCTGCCCGACTGCGATTTAGTCAACCCATTATGCAGGAACAGTCTTCCCAAGAATATACCAAAACTAACTGTAAATATTGTGTACCTTTTCCTTGTTTCAATACATTTTGTTAACGTACATTTTGTGTTGTATTATTATTATTCCATGCTTATCCAAGTTTCAACAGTTAAATACTAGACAGAAACTCAATCCAAGTGACTTTTTTTATTGCATGCATGATAATTCTCGTCTTCCGTAGATTTGATTTACTGTTGACACAAATTATATATATATTTTTTATATACTGGTGTTCGTTAGTTTGGAAGAAACTTCGGAAATTATAATCTGTAAATATATATCTACTTAATAACAACATTTGCTAAATTTTACAAACTTTTCCCTAATTTTAGAGAAATTAACAACATAATGTAAAAATAATAAAATATTTCAGAAATAACAAATAATTGTTTTAAAAATTAATTTTTCATCGATATATCTTTTTGCTTTCAGACAATATTGTCTATATTCATTAAAATAAATAAAAGAAAATAAAAGCTTTTGAAATTAAATAATTTTTTTTTGTTTTATTGAGTTTTGTAAGTTACAATTCATAGATGATTTTCAGGTAGAATAAAAAATGATTTAATTTCCTCAAAGCCTTGTGCTTTTTAACGAATATAATCACTAATCATCCCAAAATTGAAATTATAGACTTTTCGTACAATGAGTTATGAGGGGAATGCATATGAAAAAAATATGATTTTTGCCATGACTTTAAAAAAGAAAACCATATTTATAATGGGTTCCATCATTTGTGAATGGTTTCTGAAAGTTTCATTAAAATCCGACAATTATTTTTTATTTTTGAAAGATTTTCAAAATTAATGTCTGTCATACAGGAAAAAACGCGCTAAAATTTTATGTTATTTTACTAGTTTCGGTGATACAAAGAGAAACAAGCTTTTTTTAATCAAAATTTAGAATGTTCTAATAAGAAGGAAAAAAATTAAAAAAATAATTAAAAAATACTTTGATCGTTCCTTTTTATAATAACATACATAAACATTTAGACGCTAAAATTTTGTTTTCGTCAAGTTTGGCGTTTTTTATCATGCTTTGCCCTGTTTTTAGCGATCTCATGAAGGTACCTATAACAGATATATATATATATATATATATATATATATATATATATATATATATATATATGTGTGTGTGTGTGTGTGTGTGTGTGTGTCTGTGTATGAGAGAGAGAGAGTGAATTTGTGTGTGTGTTGATTACGCTAGATAACACGATCTTTCCCAGAAACTGTAACTAAGGTTTGCTCAGCATAGTTGCATTATAAACCGCTGATTTGCTCTGTCTGTGGTGACTAAACCTGTGCAAGCGTCTGCAACAGGGATTGGCCAGCCGCCCTAGTAGACGGCTCTCCTCGAATACGAGTGGTCAGTTATACATATATGTATGGATGCATGTATGTTCGTATGAGATTTCTTGGATTCTGTTAAGGGCAAAGCGAAATAGCGAAAAAATACCCTGCCGTCTCTGTTTAAATGGACTGCGGAACTTGGATTGAGACGGATAAGAAATGGACAAACATTGCTTATTGTCGCAAAGAAGAGAAAGTGCTGGCAAAGCATGATCGTTCACATGGCCCGTAGACGATAAGATTTCTTGCGTAATTTTTCTTAAAAAAAAAAAAAAAAAAAGCGTCTACCATAGACGACAGAAGTGTTAAGTGTGGAGATAAAAAGCCTTGACTGCTCATAGAGAAAAATATAACCAATTCAACTGCAAAGTTAATTAAATATAGGAGATTTTTTTACGGAATGAGTGAACTAGAGAAAAATAAGATGGTGTGGTCATATAATCATTATTGCTACTGAAGTTTTGACTCAACCCTTCCTTTTTCGCTCAAATAACAATACTAATGACAACAAAATAATAATAATAATAATAATAATAATAATAATAATAATAATAATAATAATAAAACAACAAAAACAACAACAACAACAACAGCAAGAGCATTAACACAAGGGCGACAATAATAATTTTAATCGACTAATTCTCAGTTGAAGGAGTTGATATTGGTCGACCTCGGCCGTTGGCTACGGTCAAAGCCCAGGTGTTAGGTCGCCTTTGTATCAGTTGCGTTTCTAAGCGATCTCTGCCTCCATCTTGAACACTTGACTTGGTACTCAATGAGTATGCTTCATATGTTTTTAAGTCGCCCCTTTTTCCGCGAAATCTTTTCGCTTTTCCTTCCTGCCTTCATCCTTCCTTTATTTGCTGGGTCATGACCGAAACCCCGTGTTCTTTTTGGAGTGATTTCGTGTACTTAACGACGACACTTTCATTTTCTTCGGCTTTATTTTGTTCTTTCGATTTATGTATCTATTTTATATTTTTTTAAAAAATATATTTACGGCTAAGTTGTTTTATGAGATTAATTAAACGTTTTTATCACACACTTTCTTCTTCTATCCTTTCGATTCTATATTACCCTTTACTTCATTATCTTTCCTTTCCTTCCTTTTATTGAACTTCTCTACTTCGTCATTTTTTACTTTCTTATTATCTATTCCCCCCTCTAATTCTTATTCCTACTACTACTACTCTTAAACTGCAACTTTGTATTTCTTCTATTTTGCTTTATTCTCTTTTCGTCTCAGTTTCTTCTCCTCCTATTCCTTTATCATACACTTCAATTTCGACTTTTATAGCCTCTCTTTCTTTTACTTAGAACTCATTGTTCTTTCTGTCTTTCTTTTTTCGTTGCCCACGTTTTCATTTTCCTTCTTTTCTTTTTGTTGATTTTTTTTGTCTTCTCTAATTCTCGTAATTCCTTCTCCATTTTCTTATCTTCTATAATTCTTTTTCACATTCATAATTCTGGCTCTAACTTTTTTCTTACTTTATTCGACTTTTCCTTCTACTTTCTAATCCAACACTTCTTTTCATTTCTTCGTTTTAACCATCCATTCTATATCTTTTTTTCTCCCTTTTTTTTTTAAAACCATTATCTTTCAAGAAATATATTTTTTCATTCTTGGCTCGTTTATTTTTTTTTGTCTTTCATTCTTTGGTTATTTTTTTACTAGACATCATTCGTTCTTTTTCCTTTAATTTCTTCATTTTCTAACTTTCGTTAAATATTTTCTCATTACCACTTCTAATAATTTGCTTTCTTACAAATTCTTTTGTATTGTTGTTTGATTTCTGCTTTAAGTAAATTTCATTAAAACGAACCGAAGTTTTAGGTAAATATTTTTACTATGGTCTATTTCCCTGTCAATGCACTTAATTCATTAGTGAATATTATTCACAGAGATCGAACGTTATAAAACGATAATTTCAAATAAAAATTTAATTCATCATTACAGAATTTTTATGAGATATTTCTGATTTTTTTTTCTGATTTCAATCTAACGTTAATTAATATTTCATCCTTTCTCTTATTCTTTAAATATTTGTATCTTTTCATTTTTCTTTCTTTCTTTTTTCTTTCTTTCTCACGTTCTTGTTTTGATTGGATTTTCAATTTTTGCATTAGTATTTGTTTTCTTTCGCAACTGTTTTCTTTCTTTCTTTCATCCAAACTGTAAACATCTCTTTCTTCCTCATTCTTTTCTTTTTTCTACATTTTTTGCCTCTTTTAATCTATTTTCTTTCTCCTCTCTTTCTATTTCTTTCTCCCTTTCAAAATGTATACATTCCTTTTTTACATTTATTCTTCGCTCGATTTTTTTCTTCTGTTTACTTACTACACTTTCAAAATATACATCTCTCTTTCAAAATATACATCTCTCTTTCAAAATATACATCTCTCTTTCAAAATATACATCTCTCTTTCAAAATATACATCTTGATAATTTTTATATTTCCTTGTGTTTTTCGTTTTATTTCTAAATGTATTTGTTTCTCGTAATTTTCATTTCTCTTTCTGTTTCTTCCTTCTTTTTTAAGCTTGGGAAATATACACGTTCCTTCTTTTTATATTTATTTCTTCCTATCTTTTTCATACTTTCTGTTTTCTGTCTTATTTCTTTCTCCCTTTGAACATATACATTTTCCTACGTTTTATCTTTCTTTTCTTTCGTTTCTTTCTTTCTTTTTTCTTTTCCTTTTCCTGTTTTAATTCTTTCTTTTGATATTTCTTTCTTCTCTCTTTTTCTGTTTTGTAGCTTTCAAAATATACACTTTCCTTCTTTTATATATTTCTTTCGTCTCTCTTCAATTTTTATTTCTTCTTTCTTTAGATCTTTCAAGATATACATATTCTTTCTTTCTTTCTTTCTTTTTTCAACAATCAGGTCTTCTTTATTTTCTTTTTTTTATTTTTCCTTGCTGTCACTCTCCAAATATCAATATTTATGTCTCTCTTTCTCTTTTAATTCTTGAATGGATCGGTTATTTTTCATTCTGACAAGTAATATATTTTTAATCTATTTCCTTTATGTATTGTCACCTATCGTCGTAACATTTACCCCACACGTCCTTCGTAAAATCGGGAAGATAAACTCTTTTAGAACTGCTAATATTTACAGAAATGCCACTTAAAAATTATTTTCAAATGGATAGTATTATAAACTTATTTCCCATTTCCCTCTCTGTCGTCTAAGATTTTTTTCTTCTCTTTTTATCGACGTGTTTATTGGAAGTATACGTTAGTTTTTCATGTACTTTCCATTTTCCTTCTTTTTAAACAACTCTCAGTTACTACATCATACTCTTAAATTGATGTTTCTCAAAATATATACAAATTGATATATACAATTGGATATTTCCGACTGGTACCATCTATTGGTGTTTTATCCCCGTTAAAAGCTAAAATGTCGAGTGCTGATTAATTCGGTGAGTAGGTCTGGCCATAATGGAGAAATGGCGGAAAACATTTTTCTTAAATTCTTTCTTTCAGTCATATTCATGTAATACAAGTAAGCCTCCATATCTAGACTATTAGTAAACTTGCTCTGCCGATCAATTTTATCGCACAGTTAATTAAAATTCTATTGGATGCTCCATACATACATACATACATATATATATATATATATATATATATATATATATATATATATATAGACATTTCCACACACACACACACACACACATACATACATACATACATATATATATATATATATATATATATATATATATATATATGTGTGTGTGTGTGTGTGTATCAGTTTGTCTGATGATCGCAAAAAAGCGCGAAACTCAGGGTTACAAACTCATATCCATACAACTGAATATCTGAGAGCTCTATAATTCATACTGAGCAGTTTCCAATAAGTACCGCGCATATATATATATATATATATATTATATATATATATATATATATATATATATATATATATATATATATATATATATATATATATATATATCCTAATGATCCAGGTACTATCTTACTATCCACCTAGATTTCACCATATAGGATCATCAGGGTGAACTGGACGATTTCTTTCGTCATGTTCGTTAGTTTCAGGTGCTATCTTTTTTTTCCTATTTTTCTATGCGAATCTATTTATTTGAAAATTGTGCTATGCAGGTTTCTTCACCCACCGAGTTTATAAATATATATATATATATATATATATATATATAAAGAAAGAGATAGATAGATAGAGAGAGAGAGAGAGAGAGAGAGAGAGAGAGAGAGAGAGAGAACATTTGCCTTTTAGTCATGATACTCAAATTCTAAACTCAACTGGGTTGATTTTATATCGGAACATGTAGGTGATGGTAACTTACATTAACGTTGAGAATTATCTGATCACCATACCGCAAACATTAACCCAAACATTGAAACTGTGTATACAAAATAGCTGGGAATCCATCGATATTTGTGCTACCAAATAACAGAATCCACATCACTTGAGGACTATCAACAACTAAAATGGATCGTACATGTCAATCAAAGAGAAAATAATAGCATAATCAAGATGTTAACATTCCACATCAATTCAATGCTGGAAGGAATGCTAACAGCTACTAGACTTGAGAAAACTTTTTCTCATAAACGTTTTTTAAGAGAAAGATTTTATAAATTTCAACTGAAAACAATATTGGCTGCTTGGTCAGTAAATGCTAAATGTTTCCTTGTAGGGAAACGATTAATATTACCATTACCATCACGAATTCACAAGTCTTCAGGATTGAATGTACTTTCCTTGTTTAAACTTTTGATCACGCCGGATTATGCGCCCTCGCCCGGAAAACGCTAACTAATAAGCGCTCAACACAGTTTGTGCATAAACAGCATTTTGATTCTGTAGGTGAGAATGAAAAATAAATCTACTTGAAAAAGCGTCTACTACAGTGATTAGCTAATCACCATAGCATAGGATAGATGGTCATTATATACGGTATAGATATAGTGGATTTGTTTCCATTTAACAAAGGGTAAAAATAATCACCCTGAATCATATATGCGAATTTGTGGTCTTTTCTGGGTGAATTTAGTGTCCAACGGTCACTACAATAAGTTAAAATCTTTACCTCGCACGTTTACTTTGAAATAACTCTACTCCAATTATTATTATTATTATTATTATTATTATTATTATTATTATTATTATTATTTCCTTGGGTTTCTGTTGTACACAGATTTTCTTCCGGGTCCCAACAAGAGACCTAAAGTCAGAAATGGTTTCATGTCATCTTCCACTTTTATCGTAAAATAAACAAGAAAAAAAGGAAGATTAAACACAGTTTATATAGATAAAGCTCTTCGTAATGTGTAAGCTGTAATTGTGGGTACAATTTTTCTATTTCTTTAAGGCATGATCTACCAGGAATCCCTTCAGTGATTGTGCCAGACCTTTTTCCGATCAAACCCAACGCCACAACCACAATGGGATTTAACAATGTTTTCATGTACCACATTTTTTAGATTTACAACATCCAATTCATTGTATTTTGATACTTTATTATTATTATTATTATTATTATTATTATTGTTATTATTATGTTGGTGTAAAAATAATGACGTAATAATGTCGTTTTGTGGTGTGTACTCATTTCTTTTCGAAGTCCAGATCAGAGACTTAAGTTCTGTAATGGCATCATGAAATTTTCCTCTTAGCAATTGCGAAAAAAAAAAGAAGCACACATATTTTACATAGATAAAGACCTTCGTAAGGTGTGGGCTCTACTCTTGAGAACATTTTTGTTATATTTCTTTCAGGTATGTGCTAACAGGAATCACTTCATATCTATTGAAATCTTTTCCAATCAATCCGAGGGCTCCAACTACAAGTTTCTGGGCGATTAGCTTTGATTGTTCTGTGTGCATTGTAAAGTGCCATATTATTATTATTATTATTATTATTATTATTATTATTATTATTTTCTTTGATTTCTGGCGTTTGCACATTTCTTTCCGGGTCCCGCCCAGGGGCCTAAAGTTAGAAATAGCATCATGACACTTTCCACTGACAAAAAAAAAAAAAGAAAAAAAAAAAGATTTCATAGATAAAGCCCTTCGTAAGGTGTGGGCTGTACTTGTCAGAACAATTTTTTGTATCTCCTTGAGGCATGAACTTCCAATCAATTAGTCTACTGCAATCTTTTCCAACCAGTCCTAGGGCTCCAACTACAACTATATATGCCACATTTTCGAGATTTCTATTTCAAGGTCCTTGTATTTTGACAACTTTTTGAATATTATTATTATTATTATTATTATTATTATTATTATTATTATTATTATTATACCGGTAGTTTAAAAAGAATTATACTTAAAAAGGTACCGGTGAAGTCCGTCGGTACCAGCTGATATGCTCTTTAACAGACTTTTGCCATTAAATGTAAACTGCAGAAGCAGTAAGACGTAACTGAAAGAAATATCGCTGATGACAGAACTGTCTTAAAATGATTATAAATTATTTCGGCTTTTTCTTCTCTTGAAATGTTTTATTCTGGTAATGATATTGGATATCTTCAGCATTTAGTTTTCTAACATTGCGCTTCTCACTTGATCTTTCTATACAGTAAACTTTTCTGCTATAGATAAAGAACTTTTGTCATGAAACAATTTGCAATAAACATTAGATTCAAATATTTTATATTATATACCCGGCGGAAATTAATGTGGTTTTATTATACTGCGTCATTTATGCTGTTGCACACACACACACACACACGCACGCACGCACGCACACACAGATATATGTCATTCGCAGACAGTATCACAGCTCCTCAGTGCAACGACATCCAAATGCTTCAAGCCAGGACCCAACCCCGACCGATTTGGTGTCAGAGTTTCTACCACTGAGCTATCGTCATTCAGCAGAGAGAAACAGCTAATTCTAGTGTATTGTTTTTACGAATGTGAAAAAAAAGACAACCAGCTGGAGGGCTCCAATTCATTTTACTGAAGAGCTTTGCGTTAGCGCAGGTGACAGTTGTTTATAGAATCAGTTTATCTCTCAACAGTGCTCAACTGAAATATATTTTCAAGAGCTTATATATATATATATATATATATATATATATATATATTATGAAATGGACAAAATTATTTTTAGACTTTTTTATGTTTATACATTCTTTTTATTGATACAAAGATTTAAGCAAATGCTCTGTTTTATAATAAACAGTATTAAGGTTGAATATTGAAGTTTAAAAGCAGTAAAATCGACCATGCCAACCGAACGATTCTCCGTGGCTCGAACGGTTAAAGCACGTCAGCCTAAATATAGAATACAGGTTCGTTTCCTGTCGGAGAACGAATATTTTCTATGAAAAATTCCCGGACATTCAGGCCGGTAAATGTTATTAATACTGTTTATTATAAAACAGAGCATTTACTTAAATATTTGTATCTATAAAAAGAATGTAACATAAAAATGTCTTAATATATATATATATATATATATATATATATATATATATATATATATATATATATATATATATAGGGTGTGTCAAAATGCTTTTGCACACTATGGGAGAGGGTTCCTGACCCAAAACAAGGTAAAATGTCCAAAAGGCCAACTCATAAAAAACGTTTAGAATATTATCCCCTTGCGTTTACACATGTACGCACTTAACGGAACCTTTCAAATAATCCCACACGGTGTGGAATGGTTATGCAGATCTCTCTGAAACGTTGAAGAAGCGTCTCTGCATTCTTAATTTCTGCTGCATTAAGAAATTGTTTTAGGTGGCACCACAAATAAAGATCGGAAAGATTGCAGTCAGGAACTTGTAGGCCATGGAACCGTTACTCTCCTGTCCATTCATAGTTCATGGTATATGCCAGCTAGTGCATCGCAAACCATGTGACTAAAATCTGCTGGTACCCCGTTACGCGTGAACCACTTGCTTCTTCGTATTAACACGGGTACATCTTGTAACACGTATGGAAGTGTGTTCGAAATAAATTCCCTGTAGACAGATCCTGTATGACGT